ATTGGCACGCCGCCGCTACGTCCCGTGAACCGACCCGACCCCGACCCGACCCGAGATCAAAACTTACCCTTAGAGACCCCCGTTGTAATATGACGTTGAGCGTTTCGAACCCCAAGGATTTCCTCAGTTGTGATATAGATTATGTCAAAGCTGTTTCTTTCAATGAAATACCGGTTACATCTACAAAACGTACTATTTTGGTCCGTTTATCGATGAAGTTTAGTCTGTCATTGTTGAGAAGATTTACGTCGACTTCATGGGACGCCATATGATCAAGCACTCCCCGTTCTCTCACCTGATTATTTACCACATCATTCTGGAATTTCTTGGTGACATTTTACACTGTCTTCTACCATGTTTGATGGGTTAGACCAACCCGAACGCGCCTGAAACAACCAGCACGTTAACCATGGCAATAGTGCGCTATAGTAAGCTACGAGGGTTATAAGAGTGATAAAAGCAAAGATTAAACAAGCATACAGTAAGAAAATTCTACTATGCAGAGGTATACAAATTGATAATAACCTTGCATAATGATGCGTTCTATTAGTGTTTAGCATCCAAAGGCCTTCTGCTCTCAGTAGATTGTTGCACTCATTGTCATAGCTTCCTAGATTGCGCTGTGACCGTGAGCTCTGTATCGCACGCTTTTCTTTGCATTGATCAGATTTACTTTCAGGTTTCCGCTGCCGATGCTTAAATAACAGCCTAGGCCTAGCCAAACTGGTAGACCAAATCGACAACCAGCCCCCCCCCAAGCTAGAATCGCAATAATAAACTGCCTACTTGTAAGTAGCATGACCGCGCTTATATTTCATTTCGATGTATAAAAGACGAGAAACCGTTTATAAAAATGTATTAAATAAAATAATAAAAGTAAAATATTAATAGGCACATTAATCGATGGAATAACGCTCACTGATGTGCTGCGAAAAGGCTTCAGTGTCCATTCAAATGTTAGAGGACTAAAAGTGTAACCAGTAGCGGTACTGAACTTCGTCCAGATGTTCCCAACTCCTATCACCAATGAAGCCGGAAACTGCCTTCAGTCTCCTCTTTATCCGGCTCCAGTAGTCTTTTACGTTGTTGGTGTGCACTCCCGTCACCTTGTTGATGATTCCTCGGGAATGGTTCACCGTCAAGTGCTTATATCCCAAGGACGACAGCGTTCGATAAGCTGCCCACTCATCCGAGCAAATGATGGTAACAAGCATAACCGATCGTTGTATTATTGGCAATAGTGTGCTTGCTGATCGGTTGTCTACCTTTTGGAAGTATCCCTTACCTTCGACTCGGTCATGCATCCCAAAAACCCAAACAGTTTCGAATGGTCTTCCGCGTCCATATTTACATTTGTTGACCACTGTTTTGTCCATTTCGACAATTTCGGACGAACCACCGAGCTGCTGGTTGGGAGAAAGGAGCTTGTGGGAACATATCTCGCGACAAAACATGTACCATTGTATTGCTATCCTTTCGGACAAACGACACATGCTACTGGCGAGCACAACAGGAATATCACACGCAACGTATGCTAGTAATTCCACGAGCAGACATAAAGATATCTTGGAATTCTCGAAGAACGTGCCTCTTAGAATTGAAACGGTTTTTTGCACCGACAGCAGCGAAAAGAAATCCATCGAGTGCCTTGGCCGATTCCTGTAGGTGCACAGCGTGACCGCAGACACAATCACGAATTTTGCCAGCAGTTTCCAGTTTTGCAGATATTCAACACAAGATCCTCCTTCAATTTGTGGTAAAAATGACCGCATCCACGACGAGTGTGACATATTTAGCGCACAAAATGATTGGACATATAAACAAATTGAGGTAATTAGATATAATGTTGACCCATGCACATTATACATTTTTGAGTTGTATATTTAACAGGAAAATTTTCCACGTTAGATGCATTTAAAAATTCAACGAAATTCAAAGGTTTACTTGGGGGTGACTGTCGATCAGGTCTTCCATAAAGTTCATAAAAGTATTACTAAGAAAAAAGTTTATAAAGGATAACTCTGCTATATATGGATCAGAAATGTAGATAAATCGTCCGGAAATTTATCGTATGAAAAATTAAACCATAGTCTGTACTGAACCTCATTAAGATGGTCCCAAAGCATATCACCAACGGATCCATGCAAGTACTTCAGTAGTTTCTTCATACGGCTTCAGAATGCTCCAACGTTGTTTGCGTGCACGCCACTGGTATGATTTACAGTGCAGTGGCAAAAAATGTTCCCGTACGTAATTTATCCTTTGCAAGAGGACCACGATCCAGCAGGTAATCAACACAAGCCAAATCTTTAATTTGATCAAGGATTTTGTGCAGGTTCGAACGGTCTGACATGATTTCAAGGTCACAAATTAAAACAAAAACAACCAAAGACAACTTTTTGATAAGAAGACAGAAAATATTCGAAAGAGTCATTATGATAGGAAAAAGATCAGATTATTTTTTTCAAGGTCACAGGTTAGCGAATGTGGCCTCCAGTGAAAATAAGAGGAGAGGGGCGTATACCGTTAACGTCCGCCGCACCAGCAAACCACTTAGTCACACAGCACCTCATCCAACCCTCACAACATGAGTTTGTTGGTGGTAAATCATGTCTTAGCAACTTGCTGTCCTACCTCGATGATGTGACTGCAAAACTTGACAGGGTTGATGCAATAGAAAGTTGCTATTTGGATTTCCGGAAAGCCTTTGACTCCGTAAATCACCGTTCACTGATTACCAAGCCCAAGGCGCTGAACGTGTCATCAATAGTGGTGCGGTGGCTAGAGAGTTACCTGAAGCATCATAAATTTTACGTCAGAGTAGAGGGTAGTGCTCCCGCTTTGCCAATGCCTGCAGCGGAGTACCTCAGAATTCAATCTTGGGGCCATTACTATTCATCATCTTTATAAATGATTTATTCGATTCCCTGTTATCTGTTCGCAGATGACGCTAAGATAATCAGGAAGCCATAGGAGGAGACTGTACAAGCTGATCTAAATACTCTCCAGCAGTGGTGTGAAACCGAGGGCCTAATCCTAAGTATAGGAAAATGCAAGCAACTACAGACTGAGGGACCACCGGCACCCAGAACCATCAATCAGGCAAACTCCCAGATAATAGAAAGGGTCACGGAAATAAGGGACTTAGGCGTGAACATTCACGAGTCATTTAGGTCATCTACTCAATGTGTTCTTGCATCAAGCAAAACACTGAGGACTATCTATCAACTACTCAGGACAATAGACTCTAGAGCTCCCCTAGGTCTCATACCCCTATTCAAGGCAGTAGTCAGGCCTCATCTTGAGCATGCCGTGCAAGCCCTCAAAAGGGATCGGCAACTTTTGGAGAATGTCCAGCGAAGGTTCACAAAGATTATTGCGGGCTTGAGAGACATTCCATATGAAGAAAGGCTAAGGACCTTGAGACTTTTTTCCCTCCGCCGAAGGCACCTCAGGGGTGATCTTATCGTAGTGTTCAAACAGATGCAAAAGTTGTCCAATAATTCCTCATCCCTCTTCAGGCTGGAAGGGAGCTCTACAACGAGAAAGCATAGTCTCACATTGAAGAAACCTAGGGCGTTAGGCCAAATTTTTCTCCTATAGAATCACTAACCGATGGAACAAGCTGTCAGAGCACGTCAACCGTCTTACCCAACAATAAAGCAACTTCCCGAGAATTGGTTCCACTCTAACATTGAGGCATGGATTTTAAATAAACCATTTTTACCTTGCAGGAGTGAATCTGCATTCAGGTCAGGTTAGGTCGGGTCAGGTCAGATTGGATCACAGTACTTGCGGCTGATGCCAATTTAAGTCCAGGTTCTTGCACCGTGAGCGTATCGCTTGCCTTCGTGTGCTTCAACAAGAGGGAATCCGTTTCGAGCCGATTTTGGGCTACCCAAAGCCAATTCGGGCAAGTTTGAAGAGGAATGCCTGCAAAAAAAGGGAAAGATAATGCTGCTGTCTAGATATGCACCTAGCGGAGCGGATTAGTGGGACGAGGCAATGCTGTACCCTAAAAGGTTTCCTAATTTTGCGAGTATTTGGATATTCCCTGCAGGGTGCAAAATACGCTTGAGGAGAAGATATGAGAGTACGCATTAGGTAAGCTAAAGTGGATGGTATAGTAGGTGAAAGCATTCCGAGGGGTCTCCGGTTCAGCAGACTGGCTTTTAAACTATGGTCTGTCGTCCGAGTTGCCGAGTGCTCTTCCATTCACAAGACTCCGCGTCTCCTGTGTTCACCTTTCAGTACACACATTAGGGAGGGTGTTCAGAGGAGTGAAGTGGTCGCTCAATCGGAGAAGTGGACGCCTCGGTGAGTAGTCATAGGGTTTGTTGTCCGCAACCTAGATCACCACACGTCTTCTTACGCACATCTCCCTAGTTTCGGAGCAGTGGACACACGGGTAGGGTTTTTGCACGAACGCAGAATCGGAGCCTCGATGAATCGTAATTGGGTTTGTTGTCCTCAACTCCATTCGCTGCAGGTCTTCTAACAATCATCGCTCGAGTTTCGGGGAAGTGGACACAGTGGTAGGGTTGTCGCACAAACGGAGAATTGAACGCTTGGTGAGTCGTAATTGGGTTTGTTGTCCACAACTCTGCTCACTTCAGGTCTTGTAACACCCCGTTCTCGAATTTCAGAGAAGTGGTCACAGAAGGAGGTTTTTGCTCCATCGGAGGAGTGGACGCCTCAGTGAGTGGTAAATCACATTTTAGTCCCCAACTGCGGTAACTATAGGTCTTTTTTCTCCAACCCTCGAATTTTCGGGGAGTGGTCAGAGGAATAGGGTTGTCGGTCAATCGGCAATGTGGACGCCTCGGTGAGTCGTAATAGGGTTTGTTGTCCCCAACTCCGCTCATAACAGATCTTCACCCACGCACCACTTTTATTCCGGGGTTGGCTGAAGTAGTGGAGCTGTCACTTATTCCGAGAGGTGGACGCCCCGGTGAGTTGTAAAAGGGGTTTGTTGTCCCCAAATCCGCTCACTACATGCCTAGCGCCACTCACCTCTCGAGTTTCGATGGAGTGGTCAAACTGGTAGCGTTGTCGCTATATCGGAGAAGTGGACGACTCGGTGCGTCGTTACTGCGTTTCTTGTCCCAAACTCTACTCACTATAGGACGTTTACCACTCATCTTTTGAGTGCCGAGATTTTGGTCAAAGGCTTAGGGTTCTCGCACAATCGGAGAATGGGACGTTTCGCTGAGTCCTCATTGGGTTCGCTGTCCACAACTCCGCTCACTACAGGTCTTCTGGAACTCAAATCTCGGGTTTCAGGGGAATGGACACGAGGGTTTGGTTGTCGATCAGTCGGAGATGTGGATGCCGCGCTGTCATCAAGGTCACGTGAGGGTTGTTTTAAATTTTTTGCTGTTGTGTACTTTGATCTTTTTTTGATACCATTGTTGTTACTATTGTTTATCGGTATCAGATTAAGATAAATATTTTGCCCTTGAACTTAGTTATAAACTCAAGGACGTCGTATATATTGTCCCGTAACCATTTATCGTGTTTCTGTAGTTTATCAACATTTTAGTAGCACAGGCTACTTCTGTGAATTTATTCGGTAATCCCATCAATAATCCATTGAATAAAAGATACAATATGCCTTTTCGTAAAAGATGTCTTAAGACTAGCATTTTCAGGATACCTCAAGTAACAAAATCTTGGGAAATGACCGATTTAAAGAAAACGATTAAGGAGGGTAGTAAATGAACCAAGATTATTGAGAATAATCTAAGTTAACAGAACAGCTACCTTCTTTCGAAAACATTGCGGCAAAAATACCCCCCCTCCGTTACATATATAATCGAACCCACGACAGTCACTGGTTCACAGAGTATAGTTGCAGCCAGCCAGTTTCTCGACTCAGCCTCTGCTGAGGTACTGTGACGCTTGCAAAATGCAAATAATGCTGTGATTATTAACGCACCTGACCGCCTTAACCTTTCTGAATTGAAAATAAAAATCTTATAAGCCGCAAACATGTTACATGTTTCATGTAATTACTTTAGGCTGCGAAAAAGAACGCAGAAATACGCTTGTCCCCTACTTTTCCAATTCCATGATGAAAAAGTAGCTAAAGAATTCATCCGAAAACAGCCCACTATAGCGAATTCATTGGAGTTTAAATCAATAAAGATTTAACCTGACAAGATTTCACTGCAAAGTGAGATCGCCGGATCATCTAATAACTATCTTTTGGAGTATAAGAGTTCAGAATGCTCATCTTTTACTCCAAAACTAAGAAACTCAATTCTCACTTTGCACCAACGTCAGTCACTATGGTGACTGACTGACCGGTGCTCTTATTATTGCAGTAATAAAAACACTTGTTACTACAGTTGACATGGATAAAACGATTTCACCCCCACCGGTGGATCCTTCTAGCAAACACCAGCACCTTTCAGCCAGACCCACTGAATCTCCTACGAATCATGGAAATATAAACCGGAATGATGTAAGTGACTGCTCACCACGACAATTGCTTATTACCCCCCTATCGGTGCCCATTGGTCCCCTACTGAAATCTAGAGAAGTCGCAACATTATGTTAGTCATCCCCAAGCTTGGACTGCAAAACGGGTACTCTTTCTAAATTGCAAGATAACAACTCCTTAGTAACACTTAGTCCTTCACCGCAAAAACATCCAAAATGGGATTCGGCACTTAGGCACAATCCGGGTCCGTCTCATCCAAGATTACCTCATTCAACGAATAGAAATTCTCTCCTTGCAACGTAGAATACTTCACTTCAAATACACACTAATACTGCGACTAACCCCGTAGGTCAGCATCTGCAGTACTGCTCACACAGTCTAAACAATGGAGATCTCCTGACCAGCTCCACCACACACCTGGCTTTACAACCCTATCCTGAACGAATCCTTTATCCACTTTTCCCCTATTTTCTGCCTCTCCCTCCGTATTTCCAATCCATAACCACACAACCGTTTCATACTACTAATAACCAGTTATTCCACGAAGGCAAAGCTCCACTTTTTCGGACCCATCATAGATACAAATAGCTCAATTTTCCTATCGAAACCATACCATCTGGCACCAATTCAATGTGAACGTTATGTTGTATCCCAAAACGTACCATCCCAATTTCCGTCCAATTTTTCCAGATCAAATCCAAGAACCCACATTCCTTGTCCCCGTCCTCCGTACCGATATGTAGAACCCTCATCACATTCACATGCTCAAGTGATTACATATCACACCCCGAATGATTCTCCAAGCGTCGAACATAAAAGTCGATCTTTCTCTTTATTGCTGATTAACTCACGCTCAATTCTTAACAAAATGAACCATATTCGAATGGCTGCAATAACAGTAAACTATGACTTCATTTTGGTGATGGAAACTTGGTTACCCGAATCTACTCCCATGAGTGCTATCGCGTTATGTGGCTATACATATTTTGTCAACAGCAGAGCGAATAAACGCGGTAGTGGAGTCTTAATCTATGCAGAGGAAACCATCCCCATATCATACTTTCAGCATCCCATCCTAGATGGTATGGATGACTTCATATGGCTAAGCGTTGAGGCGGTGAGGGCCAAGAGCTGCTGTTGGGTTGTGTCTATCGTCCACCCAGACAAAGTGCCAACATCTTCATGCATAAAGCTCTAAATTTATTGAGCAACCTCCCAAATGGTTCTAAGCTAATAGATGCACCAGATATATGCTGGGGTACACATAAGGCCCCACGTCATCTTAGGCAGATTTTTTAATTGCATTTACCTTGGAGGTTGGACTCAGCATATTGTGACCCCAACGTGACTGGGCAACACTTTGGACCTAATTATTTCGTTAGGATTAACGGATACCTGTACACCGGTACAGGGTAGCCTACTTGGGTGTGATAATGCCAGAGTCCACTTTAATTTTTCTGTACCATCGAGAGCCCGTCAGCATTCTGCTCCCAAACGGCCTTTTCATCTAGCTAACTGGAAAGAGCTGCCTTCTACAATTCGATCACAAAACTGGGACCCCTTTCTTCTGGAAATGCCCAGCTCGCAGTTGATCAGCTCTACTGTATTTTAGAATTATATACGAGTTCTACCACACCGTCAATTACCTCATATGTAATTCAAAATGCAATGCTATGAGTAAACTAAAGACTAAAGTCTTCAAACTCCAATGTGATTACCAAGGAACCAGAGATTTTTCAATGCTCTTGCAGCTCAACACACGATGCAAAACATTAAATTATTGTCTGAGCAGCAGTAGAAATGTCAGGAACGGAGTGCTCTGAGCCATCCGAAAAAATCAGAGTTACTAGCAAAGCTAATGAAAACAAGGAACTCGACATCATTGACTTTGATCACGGCACTTGTTTACAACAACACTCCCATTACAGAACCAAAGGATATAGCTGAAACGCTAAATGCATTTTTCGCCTCAGCACTGATTAGTGACACCGCATCATTCATTTATCATGCTACGATTCCTCCAGCTGAGCCATTATCGAATATCACATTCCACCCAGCCAACATTTCCCCTCTTGTTTCTAATATCGAATTGTCTTATAGACCAGGTGCCGATTCCTTACCATCAGCCGTCTTTAAGATGAGGAGACCTGACATCCCAATTCTTCCTTCAAACATATTTAACATATCCATGAATTATAGCTGGTACCCAACACAGTGGAAAACTTGTGTGATTATCCTCATTCACAAGAAAGGATCACGGCAAGATCCTGCCGATTACAGACCAGTGAACCACAATCCTGTTATTTCAAGAATTATGGAAATACTACAAAGAGGTAAGCTGACCAAATACCTCATTATTAATAATGTTATTAGTAAAGCTCAACATGGATTTTTGAAAAGTCGCTCGTGCTCAACTTGCATGACCGACATTCTTAATCTGGTTATGATCGTTGTAAATAATGGAAAATCAGTGATTGCAGTCTACTTGGATATGAAAAAGGCCTTTGACAGGGTTTCTCACAATCGGTTACTATCGAAGGTCAAGACTTAGGGTATTGTAGACCTCCATTATTCGTGGTTAGATTCCTACTTGGATTCTCGTAACCAGGTGGTTAGTCTTAATGGGATACTGTCACAACCTAAACCAGTGACCAGTGGAGTAATACAAGGAAGCGTGCTGGGCACTTTATTATTCCTTATGTCTGTCAATGATATTTTCACCGTTGTTCGTCATGGGACAACCCTTTTGTTTGCGAACGACATAAAATTGTTGTATACGTTTGAACACAACAACCTGATTAATACAATTGAGAATATTCTCTCGGATCTACGTTACCTCAGTTCATGGTGCAATGACTGGTTATTGAAGTTTTCGGCAAACAAAAGTTGCATACTTACACAAGAGTGCATTCTACTCCCCGGTGCACTCAGCATCAATGGTAACGCTATTGCCAATAGACCATTGGGAATAAATTCGGGTATGCACTACTCCGGCTCCTTCAGCTTCTCGGAGCATGCTCAGGTCCAAGTGGCAAAATGTCACAGGACCAGTGGACTGATTCAGAAATCTTTCAGATATCTGGACAGTAAACTCAGTATCTACATGATCTTTGCCGGACCGCATTTAGAATTCGGTACATTGATTTGCACTAATATGCGCCAGTGCGACAGAATGGCGATCAAAAACGTTCAACGCTGCTTCATAAAACAATTATTTGACTTTTCCAATGGCCCAAATTATAAACTTGAACCGCTATGGCTACGACGAATAAAAATTAACCTAACATTTATCCATTCAAACATAATGCATAAGAGCAGTGTAGCCTTTCCAGAATTAAAAGATCAGTATAACTATTGATATTCTTTACGAGGCGGGTGAAATACCGTCTGTACCGTTTTCTCGCAACCGCTTGCGATCCAAGTTTTTTATACTCAAATACATGCTTCTGTGGAATAAACTTCCTCCACGCATTCGTGCGATTAGTCACGTATCAGTAGTTAAGAGGGAATTGAACAACTTCCTTGACGTACCAATGTTGATACATCTGTATGACCTCTACATCTCCGAAGGTCGAGCATATTAAGTTGGTTTGGGGTGCTGACCAGCTACTCGATAAACAGTGTGGTGGTACTACCGTATACATTAAACAATATATCTAAAAACGTGGCGTGCCATAATCAACAGCTGGGACAGAG